AGTACAAGTGGTGAAAGTAGACATCCCTGGCTTGTCCCTGATCATAAGGGGAAAGCACTAAGCATGATGTGCATTTTTTGAAGTGCCTTTTATTAGGTTGAGGACATTTCATTTAGTCTCTAGTTTTTTGAGAATATTTATCATGAATGGGTGTTAGATTTTGTCAATTGCTTTCTGCTTCTTTTAAGATAACTGGCTTCTGTCCTTTATATTATTAATTTGGTATGTAACATGCATCGATTTTTCTGATGTTAAACGAATTTTACATTCCTGGGATAAATGCTACTTGGTTATTGTGAATTGTTGTGAATATTGATTATTCTTTTATATATTGCTGGATGCAGTTTGCTAATTTTGTTAAGGAATTTTGTGTCTATTTCAGGGATATTGGGCTATAGTTTTCTTGCAAAAAGTTGTCAGGCTTTGTTACGGGTAATACTGACATCACAGCGTTGGGAAGTAGTGTACTCCCCTCATTTATTTCCTGGAAGAGTTTCTGAAGGATTGGTATTATTTCTTTAAATATTTGATAGAATTAACCAATGAAGCCATTGGGACCTGTGCTTTTCTTTGAGGGAAGATTTTATTATGAATTTTTTTAAATTTTATTTATTTATTTGACAGAGACACAGTGAGAGAGGGAACACAAGCAGGGGGAGTGGGAGAGGGAGAAGCAGGCTTCCTGCGGAGCAGGGAACCCGATGCGGGGCTCGATCCCAGGACCCTGGGATCATGACTGGAGCCGAAGGCTGACGCTTAACGACTGAGCCACCCAGGCGCCCCCGAGGGAAGATTTTAAATAACTCATAAGCCTATTTACATTATGTATTTCTTCATTAGTCAGTTTTGGTAATTTGGTATTTCTAGGGACAAATCCCCAGAAATGACATACAGATGTTCATAATATTCCCTTATAATCATTTAAATTTCTTTAGGGTCAGTAGTGTTGTTCCTTTCTTCATTCCTGATTTTGATAATTTCTGTCCCCCCCTCCTTTTTTTAAATTAGTTTAGCCGAAGATTTGTCAATTTTGTTGATCTTTCAAAGAACTAACTTTGGGTTTCACTGATTCTCTTTTTTATTACTTTTCTGCATTCTAGTCTATTGATCTCTGATCTTATTTTCTTTCTTTTGCTTGCTGTAGGCTTGATTTACTCTTCTCTTTCTAATTTCTTAATTGTGGAAGCCTAGGTTATTGATTTGGGACTTTTCTTCCCTGGTATCAGTGTTTAAAGCTATGCATTTCCTTCCTACATTGCTTTAGATACATCTCAAATTTTGATGTGTCTTTGTTTTCATTTGGTTTAAAAATATTTTCCATTTGATTTATTCTTGATACATGGGTTACTTAGAAAATGTTTAATTTCCAAATATTTGGGGATTTTTTAAATTTATTTTGTTTTATAATTTAATTCAGTTGTGGTTGGGAAACATGCTTTGATTTCTGCCCTTTTAAATGTATTGACATTTATTTCATGACCGGCACTTATTACATCCTTAAGAACTGTCCATATGTACTTGAAAAGAATGTATTTTACAGTCTTTGGGTTGAATGTTCTAGGTTAAGTTGGGTGATTACGTTGTTCAAGTCTTCTACATCCTCGATGATTTTCTGTCTAGTTCTATTGACTATTGGGTCAGTATGGACATTTCCAATTATTATGGTTACATGATCTATTTCTCCTTTCATTTTGTCAGGTTTTGCTTCATATATTTTGAGGCTTTTTTATTAAGTGTATATGTGTTTATCATTGTTATATCATCCTGATATATTAACTTCTTTCTCATTATGAAATATCTTTTTTTCTCTTATAGATTTTTGTCTTAAATTCTACTTGTCTGGTATTAATATAGTCAATCCTAATCTCTAATGGTTACTGTTTGCATGGCCTATCTTTTCCCATCTTTTTACTTTCACCCTGTTTGTATCTTTGAATCTAATGTGTGTCTCTTGTAGACAGCATATAATTGGATCTTGCTTTTTTATTCTGTCTGGCAATCTCTATGTTTTTTGGTTGGGGCAATTAGACTATTTACATTTAACATAATTATTGATATAGTTGGATTTACTTCTGCCATTTTGCTATTTGTTCTATATGTCTCCTGCCTTTTTTTTTGTTTGTTTCTCTTGTCCTCTTTGACTGCTTTGTTTTGTCTTAAATGAATATTTTCAGTGTATCATTTTAATTTTTCTGTCAATATTTTCACTTTTTTTCAGTTTTTTCTTAGTTGTTACTCTAGGGATTAGCATGTGCATTTTACTTTACCACAGTCTACCTCAGATTAATACTAATTTAATTTTAGTAAAAAATAGAATCTTTTCTCCAGTATAGTTTCATTCTCTCTGGACTCCTATTTGCTATAATTGTCATGTATATGATGTGTATGTGTTATAAGTCCAACAATATACAGTTGATCCTTGAAGAATGTGGGGGCTAAGGGAGCCAACTTCCCAGGTAGTCTAAAATCTGCATATAATTTTTGACTTCTCCAAAACGTAACTGCTAATAGCCTACTGTTGACCAGAAGCCTTAGTGATATCATAAGCAACACGTATGTTGTGTTTTATGTAGTATATGCTGTATTCTTACAATAAAGTAGGCTAGAGATAAGAAACTGTTACTAAGAAAATTATAAGGAAGAGAAAATACCTTTGCAGTACTCTATTATAAAAAGTCTGCATACAAATTAACCCATGTGGTTCAAACCTGTTGTTCAAGGGTCAACTATAATGTTATAATTATTGCTTTGTAATATTTTATGTCCTTTAAAGTAGTTGAGAGAAATGAAAAAAATTTATGGACTCGTTTATATCAGCTCACATATTTATCATTTCTAGTGCTCTTTCTTTCTCCTTGATTATTCACATCACTGTTTAGTGTAAATCTTTAAGTCTAAAGACTTCCTTTAGTATTTTTTGTAAATCTGTCAGCAGTGCATTCTCTCAGTCATTGCTTCTCTGGTAGTGTCTTTTTTAGCCTTCGTTTTTGGAGGATAGTTTGCTGGATATAGAATTCTTGTCTATATTTCAGCACTTTGACTATGGCATTCTACTGCCCTATCTCTTCCATTGTTCAGGTGGAAAGCTAGCCATTGATCATATTGATGTTCCCCTGTAAAAACTATTCATTTACTCATTACACAATGAGTAGTTTTTACCTTGCTGCTGTCAAAAATCTTCTCTTTGGCTTATGGTGTGTCTCTGTGTGGATCTTTTTCTGTTTATCCTCCATGGGATTTTTTGAGCGACTCAAGTGCATGGATTAGTGCTTTCATCAAATTTGGGCACTTTTTTTTCATTATTTCTTCATACATTCCTTTTGCCCCTTTGTGTCTCTCTTTTCCTTCTGGGACTCCTATTATGCAATTGTTCATACCCTTGGTCATATTCCATAGATCTCCAAGGCTCTGTTCTTTTTTTTTTTTTTTCATTCTTTTTTCTTTTTCTCAGCTGGATTATCTTAGTTTACCTACCTTCAGGTTTACTCATTTCTTTCTACTGCCAGTGCAAATCAGCTGCTGAATTGCAGATTTGAATTTTTCATTGATTATTGCACTTTCCAAATCCAGAATTTCTATTTGGTTTCTTTAAAAACAACAACACAATAAATAAACCAAAACTCATTTCTCTTTATTGATATTATCTCTTTGGTGAGGTATGATTGCCATGTCTTTAATTCTCTTTAATTCTTTACACATGGTTTCCTTTATTTCTTTGAACAGGTGTATATTCATTGACAGAGTCTTTGTCTGGTACATCCAATGCCATATCTAATACCTGGGCTTCCCCAAGAATAATTGGCTATGGACTGCGTACTTTACTATTTCTTTACATGTGTCATAACTTTTTGTCAAAAACTGGATATTTTAAGTATTGTGGTAACTCTAGTAATCATATTTCCCTCTTCCCCATCCTCAGAGGTTGTTATTGTTGCTGGTTGTTGTCATTTATTTAATGTCTTTCCTGGACAAATTCTGCAGTCTTACTCTTTGTCACATGCAGTCACTGAAGTCTCTGCTTAATTAGCTAAGTCATCAGCTGATGATTTGACAGAGTTTCTTAAATGACTTAAGCCAGTAGGTCTCCCACTCTTTTTCTAATGGGCACTTTGTGTGTTGGGACAAATTGGTTTCCATGCTCTGGCAGTTTACAACTCTGCCTTAGCCTTCACTTCCTACATGCACAGAACCTCAGAGGCAAGCACGGGTGAAAGGTTAGGCCTTATCTTGTCTTTCCTGGTTATTTGCATGGCCTTCTACATGTGCATGGCCTTCTGGATCCCCAGGAATGCATCAGAAATTGGAAAAGCCTCCCATGGAGCTCTTGTTTCTCAGATTTTCCTTTTGAGTTTTTTTGGCCAGCCTCTTGTTTGCCCCAGGTGGAGTCACTGCCCCGGCAACTGCAGTGTTAAACAGTTGCCACTGATTTTTTGGGATGAACTTGCTTGAGGATAGAGCTTTCCTCACTGATTGGGCTCTGAGTCAGATGAAACAAAGATTAGCTCCATGAACGGGGCTTTTCTAGGGAGCACCAGTCAGGCCGAATAGTGTACAGTTCCCTGGGGACAGGGCTTCTGAGGGAGCTCCAAACCCATCAGCCTTCTCCAGTGGCTGCTAGGCTGCTGGCTGTCATAGCTACTGAGATTCTGAGGCTGCTGATTTCCAAGGCCACCATGAAACTGGGAAGAGGGACTAGAAATAGAGCAAGTGAAAACACTAGAAAGCTTGTTTGCTGTTGTTAGGAAGATTCAGCTGTTTTCCTTGAATAAATGTTTTTGGGATTGTTGTAAGCCTTTGGCTAATTTCTAGAGTGCTGAAAAAGTTAATTTTGAAAATTTATGCCAGTGTTCTCATTGCTTTTATGGAGGAATGGATTTTCAGAGGTCCTTCATCCATAATTCCAAAAGTGCTTCTCAGTCTGCCTGTGTTTTTAAGTGCTGTGCATATTACACCTGTTCTTTTTGATATCTAATGATGCCCTATGTGTATTTATTTGTCAGCCATGAAAGTCCACTCTTTGATTTCATTGAGAGCTGCTTGCGAAATAAACATGAAATGGTTATTTATGAGGCTGCGTCAGCTATCATCCATCTTCCTAACTGTACTGCCAGGGAGTTGGCACCTGCCGTTTCAGGTTAGTTGTGTGTTTGATAGCTGGATTTTGTTTATATTTGTATGTTTTTGTTTTAAGTTCCATAGTTCTGCAGGATAGGTAGTAAGAATGATTTTTGAACCTTAGCTGTATTATATTTACCTTTGTGTTGTGATATGAAGATGATTTATTTTTGTTGTTCTTTACTTAATTACCTCTTTTTCTGAAGTTACCATTTCCCTATATAAAACATTAAAAATTTTTTGCTTAGAATCAAGTAACTTTCATGCCTTCAGTTCTCTTTCATGTTTAAAAAGTCCATTTGCTCTTATAAGTATTGCTACCACAAATTCAGATATTAGTGGGTATATTAATTCTTATAGAAAACTAAACTTTGTTTCCTATATTTACACTTTTTATAGTTTAACAAAAAGTGTTTTTACTATTTTTGATGATACATTTCTGATGTGAAGTTTTGATGCTGTGATCTAATCTCCTTATGCATATTTTGAATACTATATGTACTATATTTTCAGATATATGCAATATGATGAAATGAGCTATATTCACAGTGATCTTTTTTCCTTTCTAGTTCTTCAACTTTTCTGTAGCTCTCCTAAGCCAGCTTTGAGATATGCAGCTGTGAGGACTTTGAACAAGGTAGGTGTCCCTTTGCCAACTATTGACTTATATCAATGTTTGATTGAGAATCATTACATGTGAAGCATTTGGCTTTCTCCCCAAGTTAGTAAATAGGATTTATGGGCTTCACTTCTATAGCACCTTCCTTATATTTGTGGCCTTAGGTGTGGCCATTTTTATTATTCAGCTAAAGATTATAATTCGACTTTTTTTTTTTTTTAAAGATTTTATTTATTTATTTGAGAGAGAGAGAATGAGAGATAGAGAGCACGAAAGGGAAGAGGGTCAGAGGGAGAAGCAGACTCCCCGCCGAGCAGGGAGCCCGATGCGGGACTCGATCCCGTGACTCCAGGATCATGACCTGAGCCGAAGGCAGTCGCTTAACCAACTGAGCCACCCAGGCGCCCTATAATTCGACTTTTGAGCACTTTACAGCTGAGAACCACATTGTCCAATATGATGCCCATTAGCCATGAGTGGCTATTTCCATTTAAATTAAGTAAAATTAAATAAAAAATTCAGCTCCTCAGTCACTCTAGTCACACTTCATGTGCTCAGTAATCATGGGGTTAGTGACTCTCATATTGGACAGTGCTTTACGTCTTGAACATTTCTATCACTGTAGAAAGTTTTCTTGGACAGTGCTGGTGCAACACAATGTGAGTCACATGTATAATTTTAAATTTTATAGTAACCACATTAAACATTTTTTAAGATGAAAATAATTTTAATAATTTACCCTAATATATGTAAAATCATATCAACATGGAATTGGTATAAAATTATTAAAGATCTATTTTGCCTTATATTTTTTCACACTAAGTCTCTGACATCCAGTGCTTATTTTTATGTTTAGAGCATATCTTAATTTGGAATAGCCACATTTCAAGTGCTTAGTAGTCACATTTGGTTATTGGCTACCCTTTTGGACACCATAGGTTTAAACGATATAATTCAGAAACATAGAATAAATTAAATAACCATAAACATTTGAAATGAAAGTTTTTTTTTTTTTTTAAGATTTTATTAGAGAGAGCGAGCATGAGAAATCATGAGCAGGGGGGAGGGGTAGAGGGAGAAGCAGACTCCCTGCTGAACAGGGAGCCTGACACGGGACTCGATCCCAGGAGCCCGGGATCCTGCCCTGAGCTGAAGGCAGACACTTAACCAACTCAGCCACCCAGGCACCCTTGAAATGAAAGTTTAATGTAGTAGAAGACTTGTCATAAGGCAGTATGTGAGGGCGCCTGGGTGGCTCAGTTGGTTAAGCGACTGCCTTCGGCTCAGGTCATGATCCTGGAGTCCTGGGATCGAGTCCCGCATTAGGCTCCCTGCTCAGCAAGGAGTCTGCTTCTCCCTCTGACCCTCCCCCCCGCTCCCTCTCTCAAATAAATAAAGTCTTTAAAAAAAATAAGGCAGTATGTGATCTATTATAAATTAATTGTATGAACAATTGGACGCAGAGAAGCCATGGAAAAACCTTTATAGGGACAGCCACAGAAGAACCCTTTACAAATAACAGTTTGAATTGTTTTTTTAAGAAGTGATATAGGTCCACATTCCTTTATCTGTAATTTTGGGGCCAGATGTGCCTCAGAATTCAGTATTTTATGAATTTTAGGAAGGCAATATCGTGCTATCTTATATACTAACCCCACTGAGCCTAGAGCAGTACCCTACCATTAAACACATTAATATTTCTTTTTTTAAAGCCTGTGCTATACATAGGACTCTCCTCACTAAGTGGAATAAATTAATATTTAACTTGTTTTACAAATTTTTTTTAAATTTTTTAAATTGTGGGTAAAGGATTCTGTACCAATATTGAGATGGAGAAGTGAACAATTTTGACAAAAGCAAAGAAGCAGGAGAAGGACAGACATGTTTTAGTGGCTGGAGTTTGCTGAAATACAGAAATGTTTTCTAAGTGATAAGATATTAACAGTCTTTGAGCAGTGTTTACCACAGTAGGTACTATTCTCTGAGATCCTTACATCTAGTAGAATAGATATCCATGTACACATGTACTATAAAGGGAAATAGGCCAACTGTAATAAAACAGACTGTGAGGGCGCCTGGGTGTTTCAGTCAGTTAAGCGTCTGCCTTTGGCTCGGGTCATGATCTCAGGGTCCTGGGATCAAGCCCCGAGTTGGGCTCCCTGCTCAGCAGGATGTCTGCTTCTCCCTTTCCCTCTGCCTGTCTCCCCCCACTTGTGTGCTCTCTCTCTGAAATAAATAAAATCTTAAAAAAAAAAAAAACACAGACTGTGATATTGTTACAAAGATTATAGAAACCTAGGAAGAGAAAGTGCTTTGTTTTACTATGACTCTGGCAGTTAATCGTGTATCAAATGATATATCATACCTTATTAATTGGAAATATTCTTCTTAAAACAATTACTTTTGACCTATATTGCCCCATTTTAGATTTTTAAAAGCCGCTTACCTTAATTAAAATTTCTATTTACCTCTTTCTTTGTTTTTTAAAGTTCTGGTCTTCATTAGTAGCAGTTTGCTTATTATTTGTCTTGCCCTTCCACAAGGTGGCAATGAAGCACCCCTCTGCTGTTACTGCCTGCAATCTGGACTTAGAAAACTTGATCACAGACTCAAACAGAAGCATTGCAACCCTGGCCATTACTACACTCCTCAAAACAGGGAGTGAGAGCAGTGTGGACAGGCTCATGAAGCAGATATCTTCTTTTGTGTCTGAAATCTCAGATGAGTTCAAGGTAAAAGTTTAAATATGGTCATGTTTCTCCCAGTCTCTGGCTTGCCTATTTCTTTTCTTAACAGTATCTTTTGATGAGTAAAAGTGTTAAATTTTTATGAAGTCCAATTTATTAATTTCTTTCACTGTTCTATTGCCTTTGTCTACTTCCAGGCCTTAAAGATATTTTCTTATGTTTTCTAAACGTTTTATGGGTTCAGCTTTTACATTTTGGTCTATTATCCAATTTGAATTAAATATATATATATTGTGTGTGATAAGTTCAGGGTTTTGTTTTTTCTTTCCCATACTAATATCTAGTCATTCCAGCATAATTTGTTGAAAAAGTCTTCTTTTTCCCCATCAGAGTGCTTTAGCATCTTTGAAAAGCAGATAACTATATAATTGTAGGTATATATCTAGGTTCCTTATCACATTCCGTTGATCTATTTGTCAATCCTATGCTAGTACCATACTGTATTGATTAATGTAGCTTTATGGTGCTTCTTAAATGTAAAGCAGGTGGTCTTCCAACTTTGTCCTTTTTTTAAATATTCTAGGTCCCTTACATTTCCATATAAAATTTAGGATCAGCTTATAATTTCTATAAAGTCTGCTAGAATTAGGATTGGAGTTATGTTGAATCTATAAATCTGGGGGGAACTGACATCATTATGGTATTCTTCCAGTTCATGAATATGGTATACCTCTCCCTTTATTTAGGTCTTCTTTAATTTCTCTGAGCAGTGTTTTATAGCATTTACTCTATCGATCTTGTACACATCTTTTATTAAATTTATATCAAAATATTTTATACTTTTATATCCTATTGAAATTTCTATTTTATTGTTTGCTAGTATATAAAAATAGATATATATATTTTTTGCTTTCTCATAACTTGGTATCCTTGCTGAGTACCCTTATTGGTTCCAGTAGTTGTTAATGCATTTCTTAAGATTGTCTGTATAAATAATGTTATCTGTGAATAGAGACAGTTTTGCTTCTTCATTTCCAATCTAAATGCCTTCCCTTTCTTTTTCTTGCCTTATTAAAATGACTAGGATTTCCACTATAATGTTGAATAGAACTGGTGAGAATGTGTCAGAGATGATCAAAAGAACAATAAAATAAACTTCAGTTAAAAGAATTAAAGTAGAAAGATTTTATTATTTCATTCTTATTTCTCAAACAAGTATAACTTGCTCTATTTACTCTCTTCTATATATCTAGACTTTTTATCTTTATTTATTTATTTTTTTTAGAGAGAGTACACAGGAGCACTGGGAGAGGTATAGAGAGAATCTTAATCAGACTACACGCTCAGTGTGGAGCCTGACACAGGGCTCGATCTCGGGACCCTGAGGTCATGACCTGAGCCAAAATCAAGGGTCGGATGCTTAACTGAGTCACCCAGGCACCCCCTATATCTAGACTTTTAAAAAACAAACTTAGCCTATATATTCAAGTAGACATTTTGAATCTTGGGGAACCTTAGGAGGTTATGAAGGTCATTGTGTAGTATAACTTACTGAATGAGTCTCCTGTGCTTAGGTATATAGATAGTTTTCAGTATTTTGCAATGACAAATAATGCTGCAGTGGATAACCTGGTGCATATGTTTTCTTAAAATGTTGGAGGTTCATCTCAGGGTCAGTTCATAGAAGTTCATATGCTAGGTTGAAGGCTAAATCAATATGTAGTCTATTTGTAGAGAATGCTAAATTCCACCAGCACGTATAAGAGTGCCAGTTTCCCCATAGCCTCACCAGTAGAGTGTATTGTGTTTTGAAGTTTTGTCAGCTTGGTGGATGAGAAAGTGATCTCAGTATAGTTTTAATGAATTTCTCTTCTTAATGAGGGAAGTTAAACATCTTTTTACATTTTTAAAGATCATGTAATACTTCTTTTTGAATATCGTTTGTTCATCTCTCTTTTCCATTTTTCTATAGGAATTTTGGTCTTTTGTTTCCTCAATTATTTTAAGTTTTGTTTTTTTTTTTTAAGATTTTATTTATTTATTTATTTGACAGAGAGAGACACAGCGAGAGAGGGAACACAAACGGGGAGTGGGAGAGGGAGAAGCAGGCTCCCCGCTGAGCAGGGAGCCCAATGCGGGGCTCGATCCCAGGATCCCGGGATCATGACCTGAGCCAAAGGCAGACGCTTAACGACTGAGCCACCCACGTGCCCCTCAAGTTTTTTTAATATATTAGGGATATTAGTTCTTTATCCATGAAATATGTTATGATATATTCTCCCAGTTTGTCATTTGTCTTTTGACTTTTCTTATGGTGTCTTTTGTTATTTTTATGTAGTAAGATTTGTCAATCTTGTTGCATTTGACTTTTGGGTAGTAGAAAACTTTCCCTTCAGGGGCGCCTGGGTGGCTCAGTTGGTTAACTGTCCGACTCTTGATTTGGGCTCAGGTCATGATCTTAGGGTTCTGAGATCAAGCCCCATGCTGAGCTTCATGCTGGGCGTGGACCCTGCTTAGGGTTTTCTCTCCCCCTCTCCTTCAGCCACTTCCGCCACTCTGGAAGGAAGGAAGGAGGGAAGGAGGGAAGGAGGGAAGGAAGGAGGGAAGGAGGGAGGAATCTAGGAAGCTTTCCCTTCAGATTATAGAATCTGATGGGGTGAATAAGGATTCACCTATGATTTCTTCCAGTGCATGCATAGTTCCATGTTTTCATTTAGATCTCTGATACATTGGATTTTTTTTATTTTATGTTAATCAGTATACATTACATCATTAGTTTTTGATGTAGTGTTCCATGATCCATTGTTTCTGTATAACATCCAGTGCTCCATTCAGTATGTGTCCTCTTTAATACCCATCACCAGGCTAACCCATCCCCCCACCCCTCTCCCCTCTAGAATCCTCAGTTTCTCAGAGTCCATAGTCTCTCATGGTTTGTCTCCCCCACCGAATTCCCCCCCCTTCATTGCTCCCTTCCTACTATCTTCTTTCTTTATTATTATATATGGTATGAGAAATAGATCTAATCTTATCCTTTTTCAGTGATTATCCAGTTGCCCCCCCATTTTATTTAAAAGACTGTCTTTGCCCCAGTAATTTGAGATACCGCCTTTATCATCTGCTAAAGTTCCATATGTATGTGGGTCTGTTTTTGGGCTTCCTATTCTGTTCTGTTGTTCATTTATTCATGTATCAATACCACACACTATTTTAAATATACACACTTTGTAGGATGTATTAATAGCTCTCAGTCCTCTTGCATGGCTCTTTGTTTTCATTCTTTCCCTAGCTATTCTTACATGTTTATTTTTCCTTATGAATTTTAGTATTAACTTGTCTAGCTTCATGAAAAAATCTCATTGGCATTCTTGTGGGATCACATCAAGATATCTTGATGATGTTGAGACATCCTATCCAAGAACGAGGGATATCTTTTAACTTGTTCAAGTCTACTGTTGTCCCTTTCAAGAATATTTTATGTATTTTTGTTAGTTTTGAATGCTTTTAAAATGCTTTTCTTATTTTGTTTGTTGTTGCTGTTATAAATGATTGTATCCAGTATATCTTCTAACTAGTTATGCATGTATATGTTCCCTTTGTATACTGCAAGATCTCTTCCAGCCATAGAAGATAAAGCGTCTCCCTCTAAAAGTAAAGGGCAGGTTTCCACACAGTCCTAGAAGATACAGCTAGTGCTTTCCCTAGAGCCTGCTCACTGTCCAGGATAATAAAGAAGTTTCCCCTCAGCACAAAGGTCCAGCTGCTTACTACCCTCTTTAGAATATTCGAGTTCCACACCTCAGGGTTCTTAATGAGAGCTACTGTGGCCCTTTTCACATTGCCCTCTGAGGAAACTGGCCCCCAAATGCTGATGCTCTAGCTACTGCTTTTGCTGTATTTAATTGTCCTTCATCTCTGATCCAGGAGTCTTGTGTTTTCTCTACCACAACCCATGAACCTGTGGCAGACTAACTTGTTAGCTTGCAAGTAGGGGAAAATCTCATACCCTGCTCACTTCTTGACAGTGGTCTTCAAAGTTGTAAAATTTTCCTAGAAACCACTTTGTGAAGTGGTTCCTTCGTCATTTTCTATTTCTTCTATGGAAATCGGTCTGTTTATGCTTTTTTAAAAAATTTATTTATTTTAGAGAGAGCATGAGCACGAGCGAGCAGGGGGAAGGGACAGAGGGAGAGGAGAGAGAGAATCTCAAGTAGACTCCGAGCTGAGCATAGAGCCTGGGGTGGGGCTTGATCTCATGATCGTGAGATCATGCCCTGAGCCCAGATCAAGAGTCCGATGCTTAACCAACTGAGCCACCCAGGCGCCCCTCTGTTTGCTTTTTATTTTTACTCTTCACTTTAAAACTTTGTGCTTATTGGCTTGGAGCAAAGGGATGGGGTCTCTTGAATGAACTTCATTTGTACATTGTTTTTTATTTTCCTGTGAAGTCTCCTTGCCTATCTTTCATGAAGAACCGTTATTGCCCTTCTAGATAACTAGCGTGCCGCCCTAGCTTGCAGTAAATAAGAGGGAAAGTAGGCTTTGTAGCTAAAGGTGTAAAGATGAACGTCCTTTCTGTGTTTGTTTTTCCACAGGTGGTGGTTGTACAGGCAATTAGTGCTCTCTGTCAGAAATACCCTCGAAAGCACAGCGTCATGATGACTTTCCTCTCCAACATGCTCCGAGATGATGTAGGTAGACATGTTTTCATCATAGGAAGTTGCTCTCCTAAATTTTTATGATTCCCATGAAATATCCTACATAGTATTTGTAACAGCTCTATCATCTCGGCATGCCTCCAAAATGGTATGCTTAATTCTAGTTGCTGTTTTATTGTTACTAAACATGCTATTGTTTTAGTTTTCCCCCTTGGAGAAAAAAAAAACACTTTTGTTTCTTTCAGAAGGGAAAGGAAATGAAATTTGAATATTAGAAGCTTGAGCCTGGGAGTAGAAGCATTTCTCCAAAAAGCGTCCTCAGAATGAATGGCAGTTTTCTCTTTTGCCAGGGAGGCTTTGAATATAAGCGGGCCATTGTGGACTGCATAATCAGCATTGTGGAAGAGAACCCCGAGGGTAAAGAAGCAGGTCTAGCCCACCTTTGTGAATTCATTGAGGACTGTGAACACACTGTTCTGGCTACTAAGATTCTACACTTGCTGGGCAAAGAGGGCCCCAGAACGCCTGTCCCCTCCAAGTATATCCGCTTTATTTTTAATAGGGTCGTACTGGAGAATGAGGCTGTCAGAGCTGGTGAGTCGTTGGAACACTGATACTGATGTATCTGCTAATCTTTTGAAATGTTTGTTAACTCAAGGGGGTGGTGATGAAATTGGAAAATGAAGTTGCAAGGTTTATTTGACAGTAGGGTCTTGGAGCATACTTAGGCCAGACACACTGCTCTTGGTCTGTACTCCAATTTCCATCCTCATTTCTGCCTTATGTTAGAGACAAATGACCCTTGACTTTCAGTACGATAGGAATACAGTGATGGCATCATGCATTTTTTCAGAGTCAGAGCCATCAGTCTGAATATCTATGAACTGTGTGCGTGTATTTCAATTAAGTGACTTTTACACAGGTCTTAGAAATTTTTTTACTTCCTCCTTCCTCTCTAATCATTCCTTCCCCTTAGCATACAAACAGGTGAAAATCTCTCCTATTAAAAATGATAAGCCCTCCTCTGCTGCGTTGTTTCTTACTAGCTACTGACTAGACCTCCCCTGTCAGGTAAACTTGAAGCAGCTGTTACTAGCTGCCTCCATGAATTTTTTCTCCATTTTTTTCTTCAACTCACTTTAATCTCGCTCCCTCCCTTAAAAGCCCTCTGGAGCTTCTATTTTTAAAAATTACTTAGAAGCTAGCTGGAAAATCAAGTCAGTCACTGACGTTCTTACCTTTGTTCACCTCTCACTCAGCCTGATGGACTTGTGACTAAACACATCTCGAAACTCTTTCTCCCTGTGGTGTCCACAGTAGCCCGCATCTTCCGTCTCTCCCCGGTCTGATTTCTCGGGCCTCTCTTTCATTCCTTAAAATACTAGTTTTTCTTGGGAGTCTGTCTTACAACACACACTCTCTTCCCCGGGGGTCGTCTCGGTGCTCCGCTGGCATGCGGTGACATCACAGTCCTGTGTCTCTTTCCTGAACCTGTGTGTCCACCGTCTCAGGCACTTCAAGTTCAACCCAAACGCAAATCCTCACCTTTACCATCCACTCCGTTGTGAAGACGGAAACTACTTCTGCTGTTTTAGAACTCCCGTCTGCCCTCTGACAAAATTCTGTCCATCCCACCTCCTGACGATTTCTCTGTCCTCTTTTGTCTCTGTTTTCACAAGACTGCTTTAGGCTCTCCTCCCCCTCAGATGCCCGACTGGTCCAACGGCGTGAGTCCCACGGGCATCCGGTCTGTTCTCCACACTCCGCATACAGGATGTGCTTACAAACTGGCTGTAGTGCAGTCTGCTACAAATACCCAAATTTATCCTGTATTTAACGTCCACTCCTAAGAATTCTGAGGCGCACCTGTCCCTATTTTGTTCTCCCCCTGCTCTCCAGTGCAGAGCGTCCGCCTTAGCTTCGCTTGGTTTTGTCCATTCCAGTATCGTACATGCACTCTATGCCCGTAATGCTCCCCCCCCTTCTCCTTCTGGCGACCGCTGCTTGGCCGCCAGGTGTTCGCACAGCTAGCAAGTGTCAGCTCCTCGGCTTACTTCTTCAGCAGTTCTAAGTTGCATCCTGGATGGAGTTCTCCCAGGACTTCCTCATTATCTCTTTCCTCGCCTGTCTTCCCCACTAGAGTACAAGTCCTGGAGGTCAGGAACTGTGTCTTTCCTCTTTCCGCCCCCAGCACCTGGCACAATTCCTGACAACGGTTAGGTGGGCGATAAATCTTTTACTGAATGAAGTGAATTTAACAACAGAGTTTCTTATTATGCGTGGGGCTGGTTGTTTGAGTTAGAGCTGAATTACATCACTGTGATATACAAGGGGTTGTGGTCAGAGTGGAGGAGAGCTCATGTAAGAAATACATATGATTCTTGGAGGATTTTCCTATCCATAGCTCTCTTGGGCCTGCAGATTTCTAGTTATGCGTACATGGATCAAAGAAATAAAGTCAAGAAACGCTCTTTTTTAATTTTTTTAATGATGATTGCTTAACTCTGAGAAACCAATACAGTATTTATGTTGTTTTATTTTATGCTTCATTCTAGCTGCTGTGAGTGCTTTGGCTAAATTTGGGGCTCAAAATGAGAATCTTCTCCCAAGCATCCTTGTACTCTTACAAAGGTAAGTAAAACAATGTCTTTAAAAAAAAAGAACATCGTATGGCTGAATAGAGAATTCCTCGTATCAAATGCTTTGTGGGGCCTGAGAGTAGAACAGACGGAGTAAGTCAGGGGCAAATGGCATTTGTTACCTTTCTAATAATCTCGTATGTGTGCTGTGTACGTGTAAATTTGACTTTGAATTTCTGTTGTGTGAGTTTGAGGAAGTAACTTAAATGCCCATGCCTCAATTTGCATAATAGGGGCCAACTTCAAAGTGATTCACCATAGAGAGTTGAAAAATCAGCTTTTCATGGTTTCTCTGACTCCCCATTTGATGAGGAAAAGACCTGCTTTTGCAAATACTCTGTGATTACATCTTGTAATTGAAGCAGAAAAATCACAAGCCAAAGGCTGGCCAGTTTAAATAAAACAAATTGCCATTTGAGTGGTAACAATGCCTGGATTCTGAATCCTTGTTAGTATCCTTGGAAAGCAGAATATTCCCGTCTCGTAATTATAAAGAAGTCTAAATCTACCAGGGTCATGTGGTTGCATATTCAAGAATAGACTCCCAGCTGCTATCTTGTGTTGTGTCCTTCCTAATTATTCTAATGCCTACTCATGGTGTGCTTCTGGTTTGGAATGACCCTATTTCTTTACCAGTTTAGAACAGTCTCCCAAACTTATGGAGACTGTAGGATCCACCGCGGGCTGTTATGGAGGTCTTTTATAAAAGTAGTATCAGATGATCTGAACTGTGCCCTTTAGGTGTGATAAAGAAGGCTCTTGGCAGTTTTTAGGGTACCGTGACCTGCCTCTTCTGTGTCCCCCTGGACAGGTGTATGATGGATACCGATGATGAGGTTCGGGACAGAGCTACTTTCTATCTGAATGTGCTGCAGCAGAGGCAGATGGCACTGAATGCTACATATATCTTCAATGGTCAGTGAGAGCCAAGAATGGAGACAAATACACTTTTGTTCCCCAAATGGTGTCTTGGAAGCATTATCTCATGATCTGCATACGAGCCGACTTCATTAGGCAAAATGCTTGTTTTTTTTGTCTTTGACTGCACTTCCATTTCTAGGGGAACCTAAAGTAGGTAAAGGCCCAAGGAACATGGCTTGTTCCTTGTTCTCCTCAAGCTCCCTCTTGGTTGGGTTTACCTTTGTTTCTTATGTTATGATTGTTCCCACATGGCTAAGTTGCTTTCTTTTCCGAAAGGTACTTATAATTTGTTGGAAATTTTTATGCTCTGCTCTCATGCTTCCTTGGGCAAAATGATAAGGCAGTTTTATAAAATAGCTTCATTTTTAATGATTTTGGCTATGAAGTCTATGGTTTTACTCTTCTCTTTTGTCAGAAAACTTAGGTAAATATTACAAATCTGGGCCTGCCTGGATCCTAGGATTGTTATAATGCTGAGATTTCTATTTGATAGGCCTCACCGTCTCAGTGCCAGGGATGGAGAAAGCCCTCCACCAGTACACACTGGAGCCTTCAGAGAAGCCCTTTGACATGAAGTCTATTCCTCTTGCTATGGCTCCCGTCTTTGAGCAGAAAGCAGGTAATGGGAACGCTTAACTGTTAGTTTTTCTATGTGGTTTTTTATGTTTTACATCTGTCAAATATGCTGTTAGTGTATTTGCTCAAATACTTCTTTTCTTTGTTTAATTGTCACTCCTAAATCTTGTGGCACTAAGATGGATGTATTTTTTTTAATTAGGCTTTTAAAAAAGTAGTTTTTTTCCTGGGGCGCCTGGGTGGCTCAGTTGGTTGAGCATCCAACTCTTGGTTTTGGCTCAGGTCATGGTCTCAGGATCACAAGATCGAGATCAAGCCCCACATTGGCTCCGCGCTCAGTGGGGGTAGTCTACTTGAAAGGTTCCCTCTGCCCCTCCCCACTCTTGCACGTCCGTGTGCGCTCACTCTCTCAGATAAATAAATCTTTAAAAAAAAATTAAAAGTTATCCCCTGGTTTTCACATACAGTATGAAACATTACCTAGATTGAGTGTTTTCTTCTTTGAATGCTAAGTGTTAACAGCATTTAAAGTTCGTGGTCACCATGTGTCTCAGAACAGTGATTGTGCTGTTACCTCCTGTTTTTATTTTCTGAAATTGGTAGTTTCAGTTAATTTTGCTATTGGAGGTTTGTTGTGAAAGAATATATGGGACAAGATCATAAAAAATATTCCCAAAGAATGTCAAACTTTAAAACTCGAACAACAAAAAAAAAAAAAAAAAAAGAAAAGAAAAAAGTGTTTAGTGGCTCAAACTAAGGATGAAAGATATTAGGCTAACCTTCAAATTTTTCAGTTTTTCTGTCGATACTATACCAGTAATTTTTCCTGTTTGAATCATGAGATTTGTTTTATAAATTGCTCCTCCTTTTAAGAGTAATTTTTTTTTTTGTACCTCCTGGTCCATTTAAAGCAAATTCTGTATATTTAGGGCCACTTTATTATTTCACAAAATACGTTCACTAAATACACTTTTTAATTTAAGCATCTCTCCAAAAAAGGTGACAAAGAACCTACTGGTATGATTGAGGAATAGCTCCTTATATATCTGCTAGAAGATTCTGTCATTTTTTTTGTCTGCATTTTTAGCTTGATAGTGGGACAGAAACTCACTTGATTGCTCATATCTGTCTTTGTAGAAATCACACTTGTGGCCACGAAGCCAGAGAAGTTGGCTCCTTCCAGGCAAGACATTTTCCAAGGTATGATAATTTGATGTGTAGAAATAATAGTCTTGCATCCCAGGCATTGTAAATATAATGAAGTCCACTACTTTTATTCAAAGTGACTAATTCTTAGTACAAGAAATCTTTGTATGACTGAATATCTGTTGTTACAGGTGACAGTTGCTGGGGGCTACCTGGAGTCCATGGGACTTTTCAGTTTCCAACTGCTAACTTACTAGCTGGGAATATTGTCTTTACTCTGTATCTTGGTTAACAGGGAACTCAAATTCTATAAAATGAGGAATTTAGTTTCTTTTTTTTCAGTAATTCAGTATATAAAAACCCTAAGAGATTATTTCACTAAAGCTTGGGGATATATTAGTTGAGCCTTCAACTGTGACTAAGGCAGTGGAAACTGAAAACATTTTAGGCACCTAGAGTAATGATGTCTGTTCCTCTCTCATGTTACTTTCTTCCTTCTCTTCTTTTTTTCTCAAAAGAACAATTGGCTGCCATTCCCGAGTTTATGGATCTGGGACCCTTGTTCAAGTCTTCCGAGCCTGTTCAACTTACAGAAGCAGAGACGGAATATTTCGTTCGTTGTATCAAGCACGTGTTCACCAATCACATCGTGTTCCAGGTGAGGGACGTGCCCTCACCAGCTCCCATAGCGGCTCCCTGTGCTCAGAGACGGGTATTGCTTCCCCCCTCTGGCTCATGATTCAAGCTGCTTTCTACTGAGAAGGGACTTGGCCTCATTTCTGGGGGTTTTCCTAACTCCATAGCTACAGAAACGCCTCCATATGAGGGCTAAAATTTATAAGGACATAAACCCGAAATGTCTGAAGGAGTCAGACAACATCACATAGGACCTCTTCAGAAACAGTCCTCACTTAACATCAGGGTAAATTAAGTGGGTCGGTCCACAAACTTGGATTTCAGTATGATTCTTAGCTGTCAGACTTCTACCATCTTGTTTGGTAGAACTCAATCTCAGGAGAGAGAAGAAACTGACAAATAAGAGAAACAAAAGTAACTCAAGGCAACCCCTGTTGCCTCAAGAAAAGTCTTATGAGGAGACCTGCAGGACAGTTCAGAGAGGGAAAGGCTAGAGGGTTCCAGAACGGAGTCGTGGGTCACAGGTGGGAAGGAACAGCTTGCTTGAAAACAGTTGTTAGCCCTCGTAACTCTTCTGTCTGCTGACTTTTCAGTTTGACTGTACCAATACTCTTAACGACCAGCTACTGGAGAAGGTGACAGTGCAGGTGGACCCGTCGGATTCCCATGAAGTGCTGTGTTGCATCCCAGCCCCCAGCCTCGCTTACAATCAGCCGGGAATATGTTACACTCTGGTTCGCCTGCCTGATGATGACTCGACAGCAGGTACTAACCCACAGGAGGGAAGAGAGAGGAGTAAGAACACATTACAACTTGAGCTCTTAAATATCTGGGCAAATGTGTGGGGTTCGGGAATATGGTTCTTTTCCAGAACGAAATGTAAGGATAATGACGGTATGTTTATATTTATAAAATTAATTACTGCTGCAGAAATATTAACTTTATAACTAAGTCTCTGAGTAATATTTGCTGGGCGTTTAATGTTAAAAACTGAATGTATATGGTGGTAGCTCAAAAAGGAACTCAGGCTTCCTGATGGAACGGTGTAACCACTAATGAGGGTTCAGGGACCTGATGTCTCCTGTGAAGGGTCATAGCCTCCTTCTCCCTAATGTTTGTTTCTGGGCCATCCTAAGGACTTTGTATTTAGTAGGTCCATGGCATTTTAAAATAATTGTTTCTGGGGTCCTATCGCACAAGGCTGGTGTCTGAGAGTATGTCTCATCCTGATGATTGGCTTAGCCAACTTCTGTGTAGCCACATTTGAGAAGGGCGTTGTGAGTCTCTCCTTGACCCCATATGCAGATTTGAGAGAGGAGCGGGGCGGCCTATGAAGGAGGGCCAACTGCTAGGGCCAGTAGGGTCCACATATTTGGGGTTTGAGGTCTTATGACTGACCTTTCGTGAATGTCAAATATTTATTGTACTTGATTTCTTTTCCCATTTTCCCACCCGAATTCTTCTCTTCCCACATTCACTCCACATCTCGACATTGTTACCCAGTTTTTACAGAAATAAGCACCCGTATCGCATTTATGTTTTGAACAATTTTTATTACTAGTACAGGAAAAAACAATTTTTACTACTAGTACACAAAAAAAACAATTTTTACTACTAATACACGAAGAAACAATTTTTACTACTGGTACAGGAAAAAAACAGAAGTTAACAAAATTCACAAATACTGGGGAAAGAAGTTACAGAGTTACAAGAAATCGTAAAAGTACTAGTAAATAGTTATCCCTGGTCATCATTCAGTTCTGTCTGGGGCTTAACCTGCCTTCTCTTAGCCCCTCTCCCAACTCCCCTTTTAGATGTTGGTTCTGGGAGCCCCTGCCCAATCTCCTCTGTGTTGGACGATAGACCAGGCTACTCACTCTAGCACGAGGTAGATTCAAGTTGGCACCATTGCTGGGTCTGAATCCCAGGTGGTTCCCTCTGGCCCTCGGCGGACCTGCACTTCTCTTCTGCAGCCACTCTGGATCCATAACCCCCTGGGTAGGAAGGCACTTTCCTATCTGGCCTCCAATATTTCTCTTTCAAGCATTTGGCCATCTGACTTTGACTTTTAATCACCTCCTTTATCCCTTTATGAAGTTTCTCTAGCTCCATCCCCTTTTGGCTTCACTTTCTCTCCTGGTCTGTTTCCCTCTGTCTAAAGGATGTCCACTAATGAAGCTGGCTGTACTCTTAGGTCAAGCTATTTTATTTACCCTTGTTCCAGACCAGTATTGGGGCCCAGTCTTAGCATCGCCCTGTGGCTTTAGCCATCATCCTGGGAAACTGCATTTTATCATTTTTTTTTCCCCAATAGCCACCTCTCCTTTTTTTCAAAATTCCCCCCCATATTGTACTTCGAAGGTTTCTGTTTTTTTAAGGGATGCCATTATTTTGCAACTTAATTTTAAAGGGAAGTGAAATGCTGAACTCACTGAAGAATCCCAACTCTTCCCAACTGGGAATACTAGCTCCTCCCATTTCCCCAGGTTCACTTGAATAATTGATAACTCAGGTGCCTCACACCCCAGGGAGTGGTCTTAACAGAATACAAGAAATACAAGTTTACAATATCAAAATACAGAAAACAACAACATCAAAATTACAGAAATTACACTGTGCAGGAGAAAACAACCACAACAATAAGAGAAAACATTTCTACCAAGAGAAGAAGCATAGGGAAGGTTTTCTCACCCCTCCTTCCTAAGGAGTTAATTTATTTTTAAAACGTAGATCTTACAAATTAGCCCAGAGGTTTCAACCTTTGGTCTGCTGGCTATGGACTCTTTTGCTTGGTGGTTTGTTAGTATTTTGTTTATAAAAATTTGGCACTTGGAGAACTTTGTTTCCTTTTAAATGTTTCAAAGGGTTTGCTGATTGGTGTTAAACTCTCGTTTAGAGTTATAAACTCTTGTCTTTGCATCTTGGAGAAAAGAAATGGAATTTTGTCTCAACACTTGGACCTTTAACACTTAATTGTTAGTAGTCAATTTATATTTGACCCATCATATACCTGCTTAAAACCAAACTCCTTTCTATTCTTTAGTCTTGGTCAGAAATTCTCACATTTTTAATCTACGGCCAATTCAGAGTCTTTGCTGTGCAAAGAACAGAAGTGAAATACCAGGGCATAGATGGTAATAAGAGTCTTCTACCCCCCCACACCCCCCCTTTTTGCATTTTCCCCACTGCAAATACTATGAATTTTTCCAATCACCTGAAGATCTATACATCACTTCTACTAATTGCAAAAAGTATATTCTTCATACAACCACAGAAGAGAAAAGAAATTACACAGATTGCGATTTCTATCAACTTGAAAACTGTATAGCATAATAGAAAGACAGAGATAGATAGATTTTTGGGAGATAGATTGGGATCTGGATTTTGACTGCTACATATGGACTGGGTAACTTAGACAGATTATTAATTCTCTGTAAACCTTTTAGGACTGTTATAAGGATGAAATGAAATTAAATAAGATGATTAGCATGGTACCAGACACATAGTAAATACTCAATAAATAGAAGTTGTTATTGCTTCAGTTCTGGAACTACCCACTTTCTCCCTTTATCGTCTTGAAAATCAAGTCTTCCACAGTTCACAGGACACACACACTCCAACCTCCAGAGTTGTTCTAGCAATTATTCTGATCTTTGCTTCATCTTTAAACTTTCTCTCTCCCCCTTACTTTATATGTGTACAAAAAATCTAAACCCCATCTGACAGAATTTACCTGAACCCAACATCAAGAGGCTCCCGTAAGTCCTTCCCGCAAATCATGGGCAGTGTGTGGAAGGAGTTATCCGTATCACAGATCTCAATTCAGTGAGTCCTACTGGTCCTCTTCTGTCCTCCAGCTGTTCCTCCTTTATGCAAAAATGTTCAGAAAAGCCTTCAAGGCAGCATTCTTTTCTTAGCGTCCTTTCCCATTCAGCAACTTTCTTTCCCCTGAGGCTTTACTGCACTCACAGATGACGTGTGCAACATTCTACAAATCTTTCCCCTCACTGGACCTCGAGGTTGGCCCCTGCCTGTTGAACTTTTTGTCCCACTCCCTATTCAGAATCACTGTGACCCCTCTATAGCTTGTATTATGGGACCATCAGGCCTTGGTGCCTCACACTTCTCATCTCAGACCACTTCAGCCCATTTAAATAACTCACTCAAAAAGTCTCCAATGGAAATATCCATCCTAAGATCCAGCTGCACAGTATATACGTAGGAGCCTCTTTCTCCTTCTGTCATGAGGGATGCTGATGACAATTCATAGCTCATGTCTACTTCTGGGCTCGACTCTCTGCCAGCACTTGAGCTACTGCAGGATTCCGATGGGCTCCAAACCCCCCTTCCCCGCCCCCCGCCCCCCGGCCAATCTGTAGTCTCCATTCCATTATTTGGTGTTTGATATTAATCATAGTAACTACTGACACTCTACATGAACAGCTTCAATTAACTGAAATCTATCTCAGATTTTTTTCACTTTTACCTACCTCCAACCACTCACTGGGATCCTTATTCATGACCCTTCATGAAACTTTGCATTCTTCCAAGCTAAGCACATATTCCGCATTTTTAATCAAATACTAAAAAAGTAGGATAGGTAGAACATTATTATTCAACCACCACTTCCTCTGCCTCAGTCACCAGAATGGGTATCAGTCTAGCCTTAGATTCAGTATTCCTCCAGTCTGACCCATTATGAGATTGGCCAAGACTACCAGTTTCCAATCTCCTTATTCACCTGCTCATTCATCTTGTCACCGATCTGGCTCTCCTCAAATACACTGAAATTTTTAACATTCCCTTCTCTGCTTATTTTCAGCCTGTCTTCCCATCCTATTTACATGTTCCCTTGTCACCCCATCATCAAGGTACAAATCTTTATTGCTGCCTTTCTTACATGATAACATCTCTCCAGAAGGCAAGGTAAACGTGGCATATCCACTCATTTCCTCTTGTCCCTTCTTTTGGCCTTAGGGAAAAACCTCTGCTTGTTTGTAGCACTCAGGCTTGCTTCTACATGGGAACTTCCTCCTTAACCTACTCTCATCACTCAGAATTCCTCTGATGACTTACACGCACCTTCATCTTTGGACACCTGAAGCACCTTCAGGCTTCACTTCCTGAATTTATCTCCAGATGATATGACGTTACTCTCCTGGATCTACCCACTTCCCTGTGATTATCTGAGAGAGTTTGCAGGCAGACACCTCTTTTCCTACAACAGTTAATTTTTATATATTCCTCGCATTTTCCTTTATCCCATTAACGGTGATCAAGTTAATAGGCAGTGCTGTGCGTCATAACCAATAGAACGTTGCTCAATAATTCTGAGAATTATTTAGTAAGTACACTGTCAGCTTAATTCCAATTTCATTTTAACCACTTCTCTTTCCATTTTTCCTCTGCTCATTTCCATTGGAAAAACAGTAAACATATAAGTAGGGTGTCACCGTCAACAGCATACATATTTACCAGTGCTCGGTGTGGTGCTTTCAAAGTCCAGTGAGCTGCCCTGGAGCACCCGTGCTTTATGCTTGGCTGTCCCATTGCCTCTCCCTCTGGGAATATTCTACATTGTCTGTCGTCCCATCAGAGAGCGCTTGCCCGCAGATACAACAGGACCCACTTGTTCTCATATTAGCATGCTGCTGCCCTCTGGCCTCATTACCACACACACCTTTCCTCTTGCCCCCAGAGCTGCCGATATCCCCGGATGGGAGTTCTTCAGGGCACTCTTCCACTCTCCGTGATGCCCTTTTACC